CTCCATAATAAAATCTTTACCTTCTTGCTTATTCATCCAAGTAAATTGACCACCTTTCATTTCAATTTCCACCATATTTAGACCATTCATAAAGCTGCTAAAATTACTCAGATCATTCAATTCTAGAAAAACACCCCCGGATTTGTCACTATTATATAAAAGATCATTAAAATCACCTAGAATAAACCAAGCCTGCTCATCATTAGGCCAAAGTGAACATAACTTACACCACCATTCTTTTTTGAGCCCTTTCATAGGGGGCCTATGCACAAAAGTCAAGAAACCAGCATCCTTATTAGAGCAAAATATATGAATCATATTTCTAGAAGAATATTTTATCTCCAAAATATTCTTTTCACACCACCAAAGAGAGAGTTCACTAGATAAACCTTTAGGTTCTATACAAAAACCATGATCAAAACAAAATTTATGCGTCACTTTATTAATTTTTTTTTTAGTCTTCATTCTTGCTTCTGAAAGAAATACAACTTGGGGCTTAAATTTTTTAACCTGGTGCTTCAGGTGATGAACTGTCGAGTAGCCTTGAATCCCTAACAGTTCCAAACAATGACAATCATGGCTCTTAGGTAGCTGTTGATAACTAGCCACCCTGCCTTAATTCACTAGACAAAAATGCCACATCAAACACACAATGGTATTAAGGAAACTACTACCATTCCAATTCACCCCTATAGGGACATCTATCAAATTATCAAAATTTAGGTTCTTAGTAGCCAAAGGTTTTTAACATTTACATTTTATTCATATTGGACAATTTTTACCAGTTTGAAAGTTTAGATTCCTATTTAGCTCTAATGTTGCCTTGAGTTTATCCTCATCCTCTTGCACTAAGTATCACCTCTTCATATTAGAAGAGGGCCATATTTCATCAGTACTATGCTTTAGATTTACTCATCTCAACCCACCAACAAGTTTTGCATCAATTACTTCATTCTCCCAAGTTAGCAAATTCTGAGTCGATTTCTCAACTACTTCCCTTTCCTCTTCAAGAGGAAACTCCACAATATATAAAACATTTGAAGTTTCCTTAGTAAAAGAATTAGTATGCTGCTAACCCATATCTACTTCAACAAGATTTATAGACTAGCCCAATTCTTCCTAATTTATAGTTGGTACCATGTTTACAACCTATCCTCTTAAAGGTTTACAACTTCCATTTGAATCCATGAACTGCTCATTAGAGGGACCCCTACCATGTCTATTAAGCCACATATCATTACTTTTTATAGGTTTGTTACGCCCACTCACATGACCCATAGCACCAGAACTATCAAAATCCTCCATCATCACGTCCTTAGGTCTCATGTGACTCGCACTTCCCTTATCTCTCTTGTCACCAGAGGTTGGAAAAGCATCAACCTCCTCTGTCCTCACAATGTCCACTACTACTTTAGCTAGAGAAACACCTAGTCCACCACTATAAGTGTCACTTGCTGCAGCTATCATACAGCCTCTAGCCTCATGACCAATCCTTCCATAAGTATGGCAATAATATTGTAATTTCTCATATTTTGCATAAACCCATAGAGCAAAGCATTTAGGTCTAGCCATCCAAAATCCCCTCAATAAAGGTTTTGTCAAATCAACTTCAACACAAGCATGTATAAAGGTTCTAGTAATATAGCCATCAATCAAAGGGTTTTCCACTGTTAAGACTTTACCCACTTTTACCCCAAAATGAAAAACATTTTGTAAACACAGCAACAAGTAGTACTCTATGAAACTGGACCCAAAAATCACAGACATCTATATCAACATCATCATAACTCAACAATGAGGGCCAAGTACAAACAATCACATGCGAGCTCATAATGGTCTAAGGACCATCATGTAGAACCCTCTCCACATCCTTTAGGAAATCAAACTTAAAGAGGAAATGATTCACACCAGCATCTTCAATTTTAACCTTACCCACAACATTCTATACCCTCTAAGCAACATCTTCAATTTATGCATCGACTTCATTATTACAACATGAACAAGAAGAGCAACCATACCACCACCACTATTTTTCATTTACCCCCATTTAAACTCATCAACTTCCATTCTTCAAATTACCAAAACACTTGGAACCAAAGAAGAAAGCACACACACCTCCAAACCACACACACACTCAAAAACTCCACCCAGTGGGGGTAGAGAAAGGAAAGTCGCTCACCTCTACCACCACCAAAGATGGTAGTAGAGGAGAAAAAGTAATACTCACATTCTCACCAAACAAAGGATGAGAAGGGCTCACAAAAACCCTACTCTCACTGAGGAGAGAGCACTCTCAACATAGGAGAGAATAGAAATAGCACACTTTACAATCAACCTAAATTCAAGTCTAAATTCACTGAAGATTTATTTTTTTACCTAAAAATCCCCAACGCTCAAGCAAAGCATCCATTATAAATTAGCAAAGAATATATTTATATATCAATATTCAAGTGTTTTTAGAATCATCAAACCTACTCTAACTATTACACTATCACAAATAATGGTAAAGGGATGGGAGACCAACGGTCATAGACAAGAAATATTTTAGTTTTTTTTTTAATATTAGTAATATGGTATAATATATTTCAACCCAACCCTTCTTAAAAATTTATAAAACATTTAGGTAGCATCTGGATTAATGAATTTAGATTTGAATTTTAAATTTAAAATCTATATTTTAAAATTTTACATTTAAAATTCATGTATTTTTAAAATATTTTATTTGGTTAGTGTACAAAATTTTAAAAGAGTACAAAGAGAGACAAGTTAAAATTTAAAGTGTAGAAACCAAAGAATGAGGAACAAGAGAAGATGAAAATGAGAGAGGCACTAAAGGGAAAAACATAAACAAACAAGAGGGTTTAATTGAGTGAGATTTCAAATAAGTATGGCATGGAGAAAAATTAAAATTGAAAATTAATTATTTTAAAAATGAATTTGGGTTTGAATCATATTTAAATCCATTGACTTTTATATATTTAAAGGGATTTTGTTCCAAAAGCATATACAATATAGCATTACATTAGCTAAAATAACGAGCTTAATGATTGACGTTGATAAAAATGTCAACACTAACGATAGTTATATATCAATCAAAGAATAAAAGCTAAACTTTTGATATAATTCACAATAGGAGACATGCAAGTTCTAAAAATTTAATTTTTTAAGAATATCAAGCTTAAAATTTTACATTTCGTAATTTAATTAAATATTTTCTTAGTGAGAAAAATCTAAAAAGAATAAATTGTTGAGAATTTTCATATTTCCTTATGATCTACTTCATAATAATGTGTTCTTTTAGAAAAAGTTACCTTTCTTAGCTAAAGACATTTGCTTGTAAGATTTTCTTTGAAATTTAGGTCCAACATGCAGGTGGAAGATGACTCTCTCATTGATTAAATAATGGTTTAATTTATTGGTTTATATTGAAAAAGAGATTGGTTAAAATTTACCATTCATGCAATGATTGATTATTTTTGTACCATGAGAAATTCATAATGTAACATAAAATTAAAAGTTCATATAATTTTAATTATATCTTTTAAATATTAAACACAGATATGTGAAAAAAATAATATTATATTATATCTATATTTATTTATTTATTTATTTTATTTATCCAACCACTTTGCTTTCTAGTTTCGGACCCTCATCTAAGGTTTAAGTTATATTTTGAACTTTTTATTATTAATAGGAAAAACATATCCTTGGATCACTACATTATGCTCAAGTTTTGTTATATATCCCTTCACTTTTTTTTGTATTCTAGGTTTTTATATTTTTATTTTTTTAATATTTTAGGTCCCTATAACACTACTCATGGAGAGACTTAGAATAGTTAAAAATAAAAGTATAAAGACTTAAAACACTCAAAAAAATACAGAAAACTATAGTAAAATTTAAATAAAGTGCAGAAATCTAAAGTTATATTTTATTTGTAAAGAAAATATTTGATACATTAATAAAAAAAAGAGGAATAAAAAAGGAAGATTCACATGTAAAGCCCATTAAAGAAGTATATTCACGCTGCAAGTTCAATAGATTCTAAAATTACTTTATAGGCCCAAACACCTCAAGTGCAAAAAGACTAAACTACCCTTAATGGGTGAGAATATTTGTGCTACACGTTAATAACAAAAAGTCCATAAATAATAAAAAAATTAATATTATTTATGACAAGAAATTTATTTATTTATAAGAATCCTTGCAAATTTACCCTTGTACTTACGTTGAGAAATTTCATAATCCATTGAACTTGCAGTATAAATATGCTCTTTTGATGGGTCCTGTATGTGATTCTCAAAAATATAAAATCTCCTCTGCATTTCCATAAGTAGCACGGTACACGCCTAGCCCCCGTATGAGGCTGCGGAGGCCTCGAAACCCCTTGTACGGGGTGTGCGCCCCATATACTCTGGGTGTTGGGGTAGCATGGTCGGGTTCATGCATAGATGTTAAGATTTGGATCCTCTTGTAGATTTGGACCCTGGTCCTTCCCTTCATTAATATATCTTTTTATATTTATATCCATTCATTTAATTATTTATTTAATTTAATAATATATTATTATAGATTATATCATTAAAATAAATATATTATTTATCATCTTTACTTAAAACTTTTTAAAAATAAGAATACAGTGTTTCTCATTATATTTATTAAATGAATAATATATTAATTTTAATGCCATAATTAATAATAGTGCATTATTGCAAAAGCAAAGGAATGATTAAATGAGATTGAGTATGTATAAAGATATTGCTAATTAACATTGACTTAATTAATAAAAAATTAATTTATAATTTTCAAAGTCATATATTCAATATTGATATGGGATCCTATTGATAAACAATGTAAATATACTTCTTTAATTAAATGCTCTTTGAGTTTAGAAATATAATCATTACTCATATACCTCTTTAAAACACATGATGAGTTCTTAAAACCATGATATTGCATGTCCTTTTGCATTGCATTATATAAGGGCCTCAGTATTGCGTTAATTATTGTGCTCCTCGTCTTGAAGCAAAATGGCCAAGGGTGCCCTTCTCTTCATTCTCTTCACCTTCACCACCTTCTTCCTCAACAGCACGCTTGCTTGTCCTTACTGTGCCTACCCACCCAAACGACCTCCTAAGCCTAAACCTCCAGTACACCGCCGTTCCAAACCACCGTGTCCACCACCGTCTTCTTCACAGCCAAAACCTCCCAAGGGAAAACCACCGCCGTATGTCCGTCCAAAACCACCAATCGTAAGACCACCAATTGTTAAACCACCACCTTACTACCCAAAACCACCCATTGTTAAACCACCAGTTGTAAAGCCTCCACCTTATGTCCCAAAACCGCCGGTCGTGAAACCACCGTATGTGCCAAAGCCTCCGATTGTGAAGCCACCACCTTATGTTCCTAAACCACCAGTTGTAAAGCCTCCACCTTATGTCCCAAAACCGCCGGTCGTGAAACCACCGTATGTGCCAAAGCCTCCGATTGTGAAGCCACCACCTTATGTTCCTAAACCACCAGTTGTAAAGCCTCCACCTTATGTCCCAAAACCGCCGATCGTGAAACCACCGTATGTGCCAAAGCCTCCGGTTGTGAAGCCACCCCCTTATGTTCCTAAACCACCAGTTGTAAAGCCTCCACCGTATCATCCAAAACCGCCGGTCGTGAAACCACCGTATGTGCCAAAGCCTCCGATTGTGAAGCCACCACCTTATGTTCCTAAGCCACCATATCATCCAAAACCACCGGTTGTGAAACCACCGCATGTGCCAAAGCCTCCGGTTGTGAAGCCACCACCTTATGTTCCTAAACCACCAGTCGTGTCACCACCATATCATCCAAGACCACCAGTTGTGAAACCGCCAGTTGTGAAGCCACCACCGTATGTGCCTACACCACCAGTTGTGTCACCGCCGGTCGTTAAGCCACCACCGTATGTGCCTATACCACCAGTTGTGAAGCCACCACCTGTCGTGAAGCCACCACCGTATGTGCCTACACCACCCGTTGTGAAGCCACCACCTGTCGTGAAGCCACCACCGTATGTGCCTACACCACCCGTTGTGTCACCACCGGTCGTGAAGCCACCACCGTATGTGCCTACACCACCAGTTGTAAAGCCACCACCTGTCGTGAAGCCACCACCGTATGTGCCTACACCACCCGTTGTGTCACCACCGGTCGTGAAGCCACCACCGTATGTGCCTACACCACCAGTTGTGAAGCCACCACCGTATGTGCCTACACCACCAGTTGTGAAGCCACCACCTGTCGTGAAGCCACCACCGTATGTGCCTACACCACCAGTTGTGAAGCCACCACCGTATGTGCCTACACCACCAGTTGTGAAGCCACCACCTGTCGTGAAGCCACCACCGTATGTGCCTACACCACCCGTTGTGTCACCACCAGTTGTAAAGCCACCACCGATTGTGAGGCCACCACCATATGTGCCTTTACCACCGGTAGTGCCGACACCTCCGACCGTGAAGCCACCACCGGTTGTATCGCCACCTTATGTTCCTCAACCTCCTGCGGTTGTAACCCCACCAACACCACCAGTGACACCAGTACCACCGGTGGTGACACCACCGTCTCCGACACCTTATGTGCCAAACCCTCCTTCTCCGGGGACCCCATGTCCGCCGCCGCCACCAGCACAAGAGACGTGCCCCATAGATACGTTGAAGCTGGGTGCATGTGTGGATGTTCTAGGTGGGCTTGTCCACGTCGGAGTCGGAAGCAATGCTAAACAGACTTGCTGTCCGGTGCTGCAAGGATTGGTTGATTTGGACGCCGCCGTGTGTCTCTGTACGACGATTAAGGCTAAGCTTCTGAACGTCAACATCGTCATCCCTATCGCTCTTCAGCTTCTCATTGACTGTGGCAAGACTCCCCCAAAAGGGTTTCAGTGTTCCGCTAATTAATTGAACTTTTTATATCCGGTAACGAAATTAGTTGCATGTTCTTTTTTTGTATTTTGTTTAATTATTTGTGATCACCTTCATCTTTGCTTCCAGTGTTAATCACTGAAATGGGCATATCTTTAAGTGGTTTTTATGTCAATTTCACAAAATATTGGACGTTTTTTAATTATGCCTTGTCGGAAGTTAAAAAAGTTTCTAATAAAAAGTTCGATGTGATGTTACTTGATATTTCAAGAATATTTTTACATGCACAAAATTAGTATGCATTATGAGGGGAAATATATATATATATATATATTAATTGGGGAAATATATTTTTTTGACCAACAATTGAAGAAATATTTATAATAGTTCTTTTTATTCCAAAAAATATTAATTAATGAGTGAAAATGACATTTTAATCTATCACTGTCATTTTTCTTTTTGAATGAGATTGTTTTCGAAAATTATCTTCTCTTTAATGAGAATAATTTTTATCTGTTGTTTTTTCACAATAAACTCTCTAATAATTTACGAAATGTCATCTAGTAATTATAAATAGATGAAAAACACATATAATATTAAAGGGAAGACAAAGTGCACGATTTGATCAATAGTTTGTAAGAGCATGCGTCATCTTCATTTAAATATTAATGAATAATGTTGCACACCGAACAGTTATAAGCGTAAAAGAAAACATTATTCCTAAATCAAACAAAAAATACAAGAATACATTCTCTAAGGTTTGCGATAATTGACTTATTTTCTCTGCATATATTGGTTTGCAGAGGACGCTTTCATTTGCCTAGATCATGTTATATATACAATCTGAGAAGTTCGTGTTTTGGATAGACTAGCAATATTATATATAGTTTCACGTTCGTGCAAATTTTATGTAAAAATAAATATAAGTTCTTGTGAGGCCGTGGCAAAATTGTACTGTAGGGCACTCTGCTTTCCACAATGCATAATCATTGCCTTTTTCTGTGTCTCTTTGTCGTTTTGTACTTTCATCTTCTCGTGTTTGTTCTCAGTTCTCACCCGTGAATGGATGCGGAAAGGTGTAATTGATTTTTTTTTTCTTTTAATAAAAAGTGAGTAATTAATATATTGGGAGAACGCAAGAAATATCCCAAATGACAATAGAAAACTGTTAAATGTGATCATTATTCTGCAATCATGAGAGATTTGTCCATGAAAGTTTTCAAAAAAATAAAAAAAAAATTGCAGAGTACCCTCTAGTGATTGTGTCGAATGAGGCTCCACAGTAGAATACTCTTTCCACACTAGATGGGAAGGGACCTGTAATCAACAATGATGATCAGAGTGCCCCACAGACAGTGGCCCTGGTCTCAACGACGGTTCCATTAACGGCAGAAAGTTAAAGTAAGGTGACGGAGTATGGGCAGGGCAATCTGGCTCAACGTAATTTTCACTGGAGTTAATAATTCAAATGAGTTGGATTTATTTAAATTGAGTTTAAAATATTATTTTTTTTTAAGATACCCTAACTTTTTAGACTAGGCTGTATAGCTTTGCATGAATTACTTGAGTTAGTAATTTAAGTTGGTTGGATTTATTCGAATTAAGTTTAAAATATTCTACTTTTTTTAAAAAATTCGTATAGTCAAATCTAACCCTAACTTCTAAGCTGAGCTGTCTGGCTTGGCATAAATTACCGCATATAGAATTGATAATTTTGGCAACCAAACTTATTCTGATCAAACTTATTTGAAATAAACTTAAAATATCATATATTTTTTCTAAAAAGCCCACATAATTAAATACGACCTTAATTTTTTTTGAGTAAATTTGAATTGGTTCGTTGAGGTTAACTTAAATTATTAACTCTAATTTTTATTAGAGTTTGAAGAAAGCATATATAAGGGGGTGAGGATATTCTCGCCTCTTTTCCTTTCCATCCTTTTCACACTTCTTTTTAATCTCCCTTTTTAATTTCAATCACTAGGTCAAGATTATAATGGTCTAAATTTGATTTCCTATGTAATATTTCTTTTATTTTACTTTTAATTGTTCATATTAAATTTTAGTGGTTCGAATTTTAATATGCTGTATTTTTTATATTTTAACATTTCAAGAATAATTTTATAGGAGATTTAATCTAAACTATCCAAATTTTGAGAAGATGAAAAAAGAAGAGGAGAGAATTCTCACAGTGGACGAGATAGGATGAATCAACCAAAAAAGTCAGCATGTAGCAAAAATGTGGGGTAATAAGCAAGCTTCTAGCGAGGTGAAGTCGAAAAAAGGAAATGAGGTTGCCCAAAAAAGAAAAATGCAAATGAGGAGGGGTCAAATATCTAATCCAAGGCAAAGACAAGGGAATGAATAAGAACGTAACGATCGAATATGATGAGAATCCAAGGGCGTGGGTCCCAGTTGCCGACAAAAAGAAAGGGTGAACCGGTGAAGTACGGATTAAAAGCCGAAGTAAAGAAAATCGAATTCAAGAGGGATTAAGCACCGTTTATTTTAGCTTATTTTTTAAACAAATTATTTATTTTTTTAAAAAAAATTATTTTGTGATTTTTTATGATATTTGATTAAAATTTCAAAAATAATTCAAATTCAACCAAAATATAATTTTAATTATTAATGTGATAGATGAGAGAGAATATTTTAAAAATGAGGGATACATAAAGATATTATAAAATTTTAAAATAATATAACAGTAAATTATTTTTATAAAACAAAAATTAAGAAAGATATAATAAAATTTAAAAATAACTAATTAATAATTAATTTTTATTATTATAATCAAATATAAAATAATATCTATTTTTTTTAATTTTAAACAAATGGGCTCTGGGAGTATTGGGTTGGGCTCAAGTAGTTCAAAGCCCAGAACAGATAAGAATGCCTTTGATGGGCCTATAATGGATCGAGGTGGAGGTGGGCGTGTTGTTGGTTCAAAGTCAACTTCAATTTTGAGATGGGCTGGCCTTCAAAAGTGGATCAAAGTCTGGACGTGGAAACGCAATTTGGTTGAGGACCAGTAGCCTGTTGTGGACTCCGCAGCTCATTTGGGTTTGAATGGTAGTGACACATGTTCGTCGAATTTGGATATTTCAAATCAAACTCCTCAGAACGTTCTCCTTCCAAGGGGCAAGTAGTCCTTTCTCCAACGGTGTCTTAATGAATTGCATGATTAGGAATTCGCGTGGCACGTGAATGAATTATTTTCCTAATAGAAAAATATAGCTTTTGATTTTTGTATTTTGTTTGCATTTTATTTTTGGTCATTATACTCTCTTTTTTTAATATTTTAAATTCCTACACTTTTGTTTTTCATTGTTTTCGATTTCTCCAATATTTTTATGTTTTGTTCATAAAGGAATCGAAAATAATAAAAAATAAAAGTGTAAGAACCTAAAACACTAAAAAAAAAGTACAGAAATTAAAAGTAAAATGCAAGACTAAAAGTTATATTTTTCCTTTAGTAGCCTTGTACAACATTCAACAAAAAAAAAAAACCACTATAATTTAGATTTTTTAGCTATTGTTAAAACTATGGCCATGAACTATGATGCACCGATATGATATGTACAATCCAATATGATACATATCCAGTATGTTAATATTTTTATTTTAAAAAAATATAGGATATGATATATATTCGATACGTGCACATGCACACTCATAAAAAATATTATTTTGATTTAAAAAATATCCAAACTAGTCATACAGCTCTTTAATTTATAGTAATGGGAAGTAAGGCATAATTGCTTATTGTATTTTTATTTTATCTATAATTAATTGCCTATCTTCTAGTCCCTTCTAATAGTTCTTTGCTTAGAGTTTAATGCCAAAAGATTTCATTCCTATGTTTTATAGTTAAAAAAAATATCATCTTTATCTTTTTATTATATCTAAAACTTATTTTTAAGGAAGGTATAATCTTTAACTTTTAAAGAAAATCACAAAAATATCTTATGAATAAGATATATAAATATCACACTATTTAACAAAATTTAATTTCTTAAATATAGCCTAAAAGCTTTAAAGTATCTACTTGTAATTTAAAAGTGTTAAATACGTATAGAACATTAATTTTTTTAAAAAAGTTAAAAAATAATATCCCAATAATTTATTGATATGCATTGAAAAAGTATCAGCTCAATACTAATATGAATATGAGGTAAGTTGAAGTATTTTCAGTTCAAATGCTATGAATAAAAAAAGCTAGGTGCTTATTAAGGCTTTTCTTCTTTTGATATGATAGATTATGAAGAATATAGTAGTAGGATTTGGTGTCTGTGGACAAGTTGTATCTACATAAAAAAAAAAAAGTAAATAACAAGAGAAGCTTGGGGAGGGAAATGGAGGTGGAAAAAGGAAAGGTAAATATAACACTAATGTGTTATTTTTACCTTTGAACTATCTCATGAGAATTATGAGATATTTTAAACTATTTATTAAAGCAATGTCACTTCTTAAATATTAATATTAAAATTGTTGCAATATCATCCCTTGATTAACGAGCATTGACATTAATGGATGTTTGGGCCAACCTTAAGCGATTTTCGGGCGAACAATATTTTTGGGAGCTACTTGAAGATATGTTGCTTCTCTGGTCCTTAAATGAAATTCTCCCTATTCCAAATCAATCATATTAATTAATTTTTTTTCATAATTAGTTATACCCAATTGAAATTCAAACACACTTATAGCAATCTTGTTTAAGGCAACTTCTAACATTAGCTTTGAAAAACTATATCTTTTGCTATACTAACTCTCAATTGGCAATAGGCTCTTTTCACTCTGCCCATAATAGTTGCTTTTCAAGTGATTCTGGGTCCCATAGTTTAGATCCAAATCGAACTGGCTAGGTTAACCCAAAAACTGACAACCTAATCCCTTTTTCAGTCTAGGTTTCTGATTAAACCAGTGTGAGATTGACCTGATGTAACTCGATCAACCCAAGTTCAACTCAAGATAACCCAGATAACTCGATGGATTGACCAAGTTAACCGAGTTGATATTTTATCAGGTAGAACCCCCAAAATGACATCATTTTGGGGGATTTTTTTTCATTTTCAAGTCCTAAAATGAAGCCTTTAGTCCAGTCCAGTCCAGCCAAGGGCAATACACGCTAACGCTGAGTCTTAAAAAAAAGGAAAGTGAAAGTGTGAGGCAGCTGCATGCAGTCTAGACAACATTCTTCTCTCCTATCTTGTCTAGTCGTCCTAACCTAATCGGCCTCATGCTTTGTCTCCATCTCTTCTC